CATTCTAGCTTTCTTCCAATACTAGAGAGATTTTAGAGAGTTTCTTGAGAGTTGTTTTCTCCTTTTTATCTAGAGAGAATTATCATTGTTTTCTCCTTGGTAGATCGAGAGAGGTTGTAATTCCTATTTTCTCATAGTGAAATTCTTTTATCGTTGCTCGTGGTTTTTACCCTAAATTTTAGGGGTTTTCCACGTAAATTTTGTCTCTTTTATCTTCATTTTTATTTTCTCAAATTATCAGTTGTGAATTTGCTCTATCCGATAGCCGTCTTCCGCAACAATTGGTATCAGAGCCAGATTTGAGTGTGCAATATCTGCTTATTGTCTTTGTGGTTGCCACCAAAAGGTGGATCCTCCAACATAAGAAAATAAGAAGGTATTACCTATTCTTTGAGGTTCTAAAGAACTATTCACGATAGTGAAATAGTGGGAGCTATCAATAATAGAAGCTATGACAACGAAATTTGATATTGAAAAATTCAATGGGAGAAATTTCTCATTGTAGAAATTGAAGATGAAGGACATCCTGAGGAAAGACGGTTGTCTAGTAACTATCAGTGAAAGGCCAGTGGATTTCACAGATGACAACAAATGGATCGAAATGGACGGGAATGCTATGGCAAACTTTCATCTAGCATTAGCAGATGAAGTATTGTCAAGCATCGAGGAGAAGAATACAGCTAAGGAGATATGAGACCATCTCACCAAATTGTACGAGGCCACATCGTTGCACAATAAAATTTTCCTTAAGAGAAAATTGTACACTCTCCGTATGCCAGAATCTACTTCAGTGACGGAGCACTTAAAAACACTGAATACTTTATTTTCTCAGCTTACATCCTTAAGTTGTAAAATAGGAGAACAAGAACGTGCTGAACTTCTACTTTAAAGTCTACCGGATTCGTATGATCAACTCATCATCATCTTGACAAACAGTAATGTCACTAGTCTAGTCTTTGATGATGTTGCAGCTGCTGTTCTACAAGAAGAAAATCGGCGCAAGAACAAGGAAGACAGACAAGTAAATCTGCAACAAGCAGAAGCATTGACAACGATGACAACTATGAGAGGGAGATCAACAGAACGTGGCCAAAGCAGCAGTCACAAACATGGTAGATCGAAGTCGAGGAGCAAGAAGAATTTAAAGTGTTACAACTGTGGAAAGAAGGGTCATTTGAAGAAGGATTGTTGGAGTCTAAATAAAAACTCCAATCCACAAGGCAATACCGCAAACACTTCAGATGATAGAGATGCTCTATGTTGTGAAGCGTCAACCATCGTGGAAGGAAGAAAACGATTTGCAGATATATGGCTCATTGATTCGGGAGCAACATATCATATGACCTCAAGAAGAGAATGGTTCAATCATTATGAACCTATCTCAGGAGGATCTGTTTATAGTTGCAATGATCATGCCTTAGAGATTGTTGGCGTGGGAACCATCAAATTGAAGATGTATGACGGAACAATTAAAGTTGTTCGAGATGTGCGGCATGTGAAAGGCCTGAAGAAAAATTTATTATCCTACGGATTGTTGGATAATAATGCAAGCAAGATTGAAACACGGAAAGGAATCATGAAAGTGTTCCGTGGAGCGCTTGTGGTACTGAAAGGCGAAAAAATAGCTGGAAACTTGTACATGCTGAAGGGAGAGACTTTGGTAGAAGCAGAAGCCTCATGTAGTTCAGATTCGACAATGCTATGGCATCAGAAACTTGGACACATGTCAGAACAAGGAATGAAAGTCCTTGTGGAGCAAAAGCTACTTCCAGGCTTAACAAAGGTATCACTTCCTTTGTGTGAGCATTGCATAACAAGTAAGCAGCACCGGTTGAAATTCAACACATCAAATTCTAGAGGCAAAAGTGTTCTAGAATTGGTTCACTCTGACGTATGGCAAGCACCAGTAACGTCCCTAGGTGGAGCAAAATACTTTGTCTCATTTATTGATGACTACTCCAGGAGATGTTGGGTTCACCCTATTAAGAAGAAGTCAGACGTGTTTTCAACTTTCAAAAACTTCAAAGCGCGGGTGAAACTTGATTCTGGAAATAAGATCAAGTGTTTCAGAACAGATAATGGAGGAGAATACACAAGCGAAGAATTTGATGACTTTTGCAGGAAAGAAGGCATCAAAAGACAGTTCACAGTGGCAAACACTCCTCAACAAAATGGAGTGGCAGAGCGGATGAACAAAACCTTGTTAGAAAGAACAAGAGCAATGTTGAGGGATGCAGGCCTAGAAAAATCATTATGGGCAGAAGCAGTCAATACCGCCTGTTATTTGGTGAATCGAGCTCCATCAACTGCAATAGAGCTGAAGACACCAATGGAGATGTGGACTGGAAAACCAACTGATTATTCAAACATCCATATATTTGGAAGTATAGTGTACGTGATCCAAAATCCAGGAAATGCAAATTCTTGGGGTATGTTGATGGAGTAAAGGAGTATCGCTTGTGGGATCCCACTGCCCGCAAAGTGATCATTAGTAGAGATGTTATCTTTGTAGAAGATAAACTAGAAAGAAAATAAGACGATGATAGCGCTGAAAAGTCAGAGACTACTCAGATATATGTGGAAAAAGAGTTTGAAGAAGGAGATTCTTCTGAAGCAGAACCAGCACATGATGAACAAGAACCAGAGAGTTCTGAAGCTCCAACAACTCGTCAATCAGATCGTGTGAGAAGACGTCCCAATTGGCACTCAGATTATGTTATAGAATGTAATATTGCATACTGCCTTTTAACAGAGGACGGTGAGCCATCAACATACCAGGAGGTAATAAACATCTCAGATGCTTCACTGTGGATGATGGCGATGCAAGAAGAAAGCGAAGCCCTTCATAAAAATAATACATGGGACCTTGTTCCACTACCACGAGGAAGGAAGCCAATTGGTAACAAATGGGTCTTCAAAATCAAGCGAAATGGTGACGATCAAGTTGAGAGGTATCGTGCAAGACTGGTGGTCAAAGGATATGCTCAAAAAGAAGGTATTGATTTCAATGAAATATTTTCTCCTGTGGTTCGACTAACAACAGTTCGAGTAGTTTTGGCAATGTGTGCTACATTGAACTTACATCTAGAGCAACTAGATGTTAAAACAGCTTTTCTTCATGGAAATCTTGAAGAAGAGATTTATATGCTCCAACCTGAAGGTTTTGAAGAAGACGAAAAGAAGAACTTGGTTTGTAGGTTGAACAAATCTCTGTACGGTCTAAAGTAGGTGCCGAGGTGTTGGTATAAGAGATTTGATTTCTTCATTATGTGCCTTGGATACAACAGACTTAATGCAGACCCTTGTGCTTATTTCAAGAGGTCTGGTGATAACGATTTTGTTATATTGCTGTTGTATGTGGATGACATGTTGGTTGCAGGACCCAACAAAGATCATATTGAAGAATTGAAGGCACAACTGGATAGGGAATTTGAAATGAAGGACTTGGGATCAGCAAACAAGATTCTAGGGATGCAAATTCACCGAGACAGAAGTAATAGGAAGATTTGGCTTTCACAAAAGAATTACTTGAAGAAAATCTTGTCACGATTTAGCATGCAAGATTGTAAGCCAATTTCTACCCCTCTTCCTATTAACTTCAAATTATCCTCCAGTGTGAGTCATAGCAGTGAAGAAGAGAGGATGAAGATGTCTCGAGTACCGTATGCATCAGCAGTGGGAAGTTTAATGTTCGCTATGATATGCACAAGACCAGACATTGCACAAGCAGTGGGAGTGGTTAGTCGATACATGGAGAATCCAGGCAAAGAGCATTGAAATACATTAAAGAGGATCCTGAGATACATCAAATGGACCTCAAATGTTGCATTATGTTACGGAGGATCAAACTTACTAATCAATGGGTATGTAGATTCTGACTATGTAGGGGATTTAGATAAAAGCAAATCTACTACAGGATATGTGTTCAAAGTTGCTGGTGGAGCTGTAAGCTGGGTTTCAAAATTGCAGTCAGTTGTGGCTACATCCACAACAGAGGCAGAATATGTAGCAGCTACACAAGCCAGTAAAGAAGCAATTTGGTTGAGGAGCTTGGGCACAATCAAGAGTATGTCTCTCTGTTTTGTGACATTCAAAGTGCCTTGCATCTAGCAAGGAATCCAGCATTTCATTCAAGGACAAAGCACATACGGGTTCAGTACCATTTCATTCGTGAAAAGGTGGAAGAAGGAACGGTAGATATGCAAAAGATCCATACCAAAGACAACATAGCAGATTTCATGACAAAGACAATCAATGTTGATAAATTTACCTGGTGTCGATCCTCCTGTGGCCTGACGGAAACATAAGCAACATGATGGTACAAGGTAGAAAGAATGGTGTGAAGATATGATTGTTCCAACCAAATCTTTAAGTGGGAGATTGTTAAAAGTTAACACCGAATGTGCAAGTGGAGATTGTTGATTTAAGCAACATGGGCAGCTGGCTGATTTAAGCAACATGGGCGGTTATTTTTGGTCCAAAATGGCTGCAAGTTGATGAAAATTAGCAAGGGTAAAATATCCAATTTAGTCACTTTAATTTTAGGGTATTTACAAGATTAGTCATTAAGTTTCAACTATAAATACCCTAACTCATTTAGCTTCAAAATCATCTCAAAACATTTTAGCTTTCTTCCAATACTAGAGAGATTTTAGAGAGTTTCTTGAGAGTTGTTTTCTCCTTTTTATCTAGAGAGAATTATCATTGTTTTCTCCTTGGTAGATCGAGAGAGGTTATAATTCCTATTTTCTCATAGTGAAATTCTTCTACCGCTGCCCGTGATTTTTACCCTAAATTTTAAGAATTTTCCACGTAAATTTTGTGTCTTCATCTTTATTTTCTCAAATTATCAATTATGAATTTACTCTATCCGACCTTTTGCAGTCTTTCGCAACATCATTCACTTTCATTTTTTACCGGACCTTTTTCATCAGTTTTTTTCCACCTCCGCTTACCCGCGCTGTACATTTTGATCTTCACTCAGGCACACACATTCTGTTGTACGGGAATACTTTGTTGAACGCAATGCCCGAAACTACGGAGGAACCCGAACTTCACAATGGACACCAAAGACAAGCCGAACCGGAATCGGAGGTGCAGCCAGGATCCGAGAACAATCCGGAGGAGGAATTGAAACAGGAAACTGTTGTTACCGATACGGATCCGGATCCGGAAGAGGACCGAAAAGAGAGCTCGATCCAATCGGATGGGACGGTCAAGCCATCAAACACTGACCAAAGTGCTCGTCCGCTGCTGCGAAAAGATGAAGGGAATCGGACTTTCACGATGAGAGAATTACTAACTGAGTTTAAAAGCGATGAAGATGATGCAGACTCTCCTTACAGGTACCCTTTTTTTTAACATTTTCTTTCTTTTAGTTCTGGGTTTTCAATTGATCAATAAACGACGCTCTTTCATTTTGTAATTGGATTTACTGAGATTTCAATGTGCATATATCTGGATCTGTGGAATCAATTCATTTCGTCAATTACATATGTGAAATTATCAAGTTTAAACTGATTTCCTATTAAACTACAAGTTCATTTCCGTTATTTGCACACTTGAGAAAGTGTTCCCCAATGGCGGTATTCCATTGTCCTGAACTCATTATCTTCAAACTTCAGATGAAATGAATTTCTTTTCCTTTACGAGTCCTTGAATTGGTTGTGTATTTTGAGTTTGGCGTTAATTAAAAGTCTAACTTGATGAAGAAATCCTTAGTACCGGGATCATGATTTTTTAGAATTATAAGTTTACATTTTCTTTTTCACGTGCCGCATTCATTTAAAGCTTATATACAATATCATCTTGTTCCTGCTTGTATTTCTGGTTCTTCTTCCGCTTGTAAAAGATATTGTCTTCATTTCTGTGAAATGCATGTTCCAGTCCAGAAAGCACACAACGACAATCCAACCAAAATATTGCTGCAATGGAGTTGGTCAATAGCGTCATAGGTAATGATGAGGAAGGCCAGTCTCGCCAGCAGGTTCTTGTATATGCTGCCAAGAGGTACTGTCATCTTATTTTCATTCACTTTTCATAGTTTACTTTTTTATTGACCATGCTATGTTCCTGTCATTTCATAGCAGTGACTTTCATTCTAATTTTGTAGGTATGCCACTGCTCTAGAGAAAAACCCAGAAGATTATGATGCTCTTTACAACTGGGCATTGGTTCTTCAGGTTTGACATATTGGTTCATTTAGATAAAATATTTAACATCATTCAGAATTATATATCATGTATTTCAATTCTTATTTGGCTAGGCCAGCCTTCACAACAGTGTAAACTGATTCTTATTTGGCTAGGACAGCCTTCACAACAGTGTCAATCATGTCGTAATGGATGTAAAATGTTGTAAATTTCTCATATACGAGTCCACACCGTGCTTGAATGCCATGCAGGAAAGTGCTGATAATGTTAGTCCAGATTCTACTTCACCTTCTAAAGATGCCTTGCTAGAGGAGGCTTGTAAAAAGTATGACGAGGCAACTCGTCTTTGCCCAACACTTCATGATGTATGTATGCTTGTCCATGTCTTTGATGATCCTGTTGCACGACTATGGATTTGTGATTTTTTAAGTTCAGTTTCAATTGCCGAAGTCATGATGGCTGCTAATGCATATGTTGTATAAGAAACTGAATGTGAAAAAGAAATGAATGTAGAGCTGTAAGTGCACATATATACACACACGCAAAAAGAGAAACAAGTCTGTATACTTTATATATTTTGTGAATTTCATTCACAGGAGACTTTGATGCAATGTCATTGCTTGACAGGCTTTCTACAACTGGGCAATAGCTATATCTGATCGAGCAAAAGTCCGTGGTCGGACCAAGGAGGCTGAAGAACTATGGGAGCAGGTTCTGATCAGAATTTTGATATTTCAGTCATTCTAGACATGTGTATGAATAACACTTGTCCTCTGTTGGGAACTCTTGGCGTCTTGTCATGGAAAACTTTTTCCTTGTATTGATAAGATGTCATTTACTGTTTCTGCTTCATGTTAACTGTGTACTTTTAGATAGTCTGTTTCAGCCATTACCATGGAGTTACTTTTGACTCTGGAACTTTGATACATTGATACTCTAGAATTAGTACAGAAACACATTGTCTTTGCCGGAGTTCTGTTTAGTGATCCTCAATAAATAAATAGCTCGACCTTGAGTTGGAAAGAGCCTAACCTTATTTTTATGGCTTGCAGGCAACAAAAAACTATGAAAAAGCTGTCCAACTCAACTGGAATAGCCCCCAGGTATATTTGAAGTTATTAATTGTTTGTCTTGTAATTTTGCTATCTAAAATGATTCCATTATTATTTTTATTCCACCTATTATTGATTATAATGATGCTTAAATCTTATTCAGGCGCTAAACAATTGGGGACTTGCTCTTCAGGTAAACTCTGCTTTATTGATGTGTGATGTTGATTATATAATCAGCTTAATTTATCTTCTTATCTTTCAAATTAATTTTGCATGTATTTGTATGGACTCCGAGAATGCTCTACTTACATTCATGTCTTATCATATATTCTTTAGGAACTCAGTGCAATTGTGCCTGCACGAGAAAAGCAAAATATTGTGAGGACTGCAATTAGTAAGGTACAAAAGTCATTTGGAGAAATCAGAGTGCTTCAATGAATATAGGAACAAGCAGCAAAGTAATTTGACATCTGATATGTCTTAAAAGAATAACTTCTAGTTGCATTTTCTATTCTCATAATATCCTTTATTTCAATGCAGTTTCGTGCTGCGATACGGTTGCAATTTGATTTCCATCGAGCAATATACAACCTTGGAACTGTTTTGGTAAGTTTGGATGTTACTAGTTCTTAAGACTGGATGCCTCGATCCTCAATCCCACCTATGATTATATATTTGTGGTATAAACGAGATTTGATAATGGCTTCATTATGTAAACATTTCATTTAAGTGAAGCACAAATCAAAACTTGAGATATCTGTATTTTAATTGCAGTATGGACTAGCTGAGGATTCCATAAAAACTGGTAGTACTAATCCAGAAGAAGTGTCACCAAATGAGCTGTATAGCCAGTCTGCTATATATATTGCAGCCGCACATGCATTGAAACCAAATTACTCGGTAAAAAAATAGTCTGTTTCCTGACTAAAGAGTTTTATTGTATATATATATATTTTCTCAGTTCTGTTTATATAGCTGGTATAAATTGGCTGATGAATTGCACCAAAACTTTGGCTTTGTGTAAGAATAAAATTTACAATAAAGCTAATGTTATACTTCATTTTCTCCATATTTTATAGAGTACCGGAATTGTGTGATTTGACTTTAAAATTCCATGATAGTTTTGTGAATATATTCCTCTTTCATATTTTAAAATGTCTAAGTTTAGAAAAGTGAGTTTTTGGGACATGAGAGTATTACCGACTAGAGAGAGTCTCACTTTCTGGTTATATAGGTGCATGAATATTGGCTGATGAGAATTTTGAAGCATAAATTTGGCTTTCTGGAAACAAAAAATTTACATGAAAGCTAACGTTATACTTCTCTTCTAAATTTTAAGATTCAGAATTGTGCAATTTTACTTTCAAATTCCCATCTTAGTTTTCTGGATATGTTCTTATTTGGCATTTTAAAATGTCCAGGTTTACAGCAGTGCATTGAAGCTTGTTCGTTCAATGGTCAGTCTTTTAACAATACTTTTTAGTTTTTCCCCCCTTCCAAGCCCAAAGTGATTGATTCTTCCGTAAGCAATGTTGAGTCGTTATCAGTGAGAATGATTTTTGCTCCCTTTTCCTAGTTAATTAGCATTTCCATGGATATTTTAATTCTTAGGAGGAATATCTGGGGGGTGAGTCATGAATTCCACATTTCTTGTTAGTGAATCAGTGCTGCTTTTAACTGTCTATTCAATTATCACTGCACTAATGCAATGGTTGGCCATCCACAGTACCCCCATCAATTCATTTCATTTTTTCACAACATAAGTGATGACACAGAACTGTGAAAACCTTTAGTTAATAAGAAGAATAAACAATACCTCCTCAACGTAGTGATCTTGTTTTCCAATCATAAGAAACATGGTTTATTTATGGTCAAATTCTATAGAAGTTCCCCATAGTATGGATTTTTATGCGAATTTAGTCTCTCTACTATAATTTGATCATTTCTTTTTTTTTGATAGGAATTGAAGGCCTCATTAAAAACCCCCTTCTTGATTGAAGGAGCTTGTAAAGAAGCTCCTCAATAAGCGAAAGAGGGAAAAGAGTGCCTTTATATTATATTAACCATAAAAAATTACATAAGATACATCCAAGGGGCTATCCCAAAATAACCAAAAACGAAATAAACTACCGACACAGCCCTGTACAACTCTAAAATGACCTCTACTCTGGCTGGCCAAACCCGGTCTAGCATCGCTACTGAAGACTTACACCCTACACGCAGCCAGGAAAACATCACAAAACAAATCCACAATATTCCTAAAGCAATCAACCAATCCCCTCCTTAGCTAACTTATCAGCTTCCATATTGCAACTCCTAGGAATCAATCTCAGAACAATATCCTTAGCCAAAATAGATGTCCCAATTTCCTCCACCATCGAACTGAAAAAAGCAGGTGCAGCAGAGATCTATTTAGAAATCCAATCCACTGTTGTTTTACAGTCACTTTCAATTATTAGTCTCCCCTTGTTAGACCAGTCCGATGAGAAGAAAAACATAATCCCTTCCTTAATAGCTTTTAGCTATGCCAAAATAGGAGTTACAGGCCCTACCGATGTTGAGAATATGGCTAATGTATTAGGGGTAGAATCTTTCAAAATACCACCTATACCTCCTTGCAACCTATCCCCTCTTACTTCCCCATCAACGTTAAGTTTGAACATATCTGGGGGCGGTGGAGTCCAACAATTAGCCTTGTCAGGGAAATGAGAATACTGAACCTTATCCGCAAGCTTCGGGTCTCCAACTAGATTGTCCGAGTTGATACGAACCAAAGAATATTTAGCTAAAAACCATTTAGCCAATCTAAATCTGGTGAAAAAGAACAGAGCAGAATTGTCGACCTTCCCATTTTCGAATACAACCAAATTCCGAACCTTCCATATTGACTAAAGAACGACCCCCGGGATGAACTTCCATAATTTGATCATTTCTTGTGTCTCTACTTTTCAAAATGTGTATTTTCTGTCCTAAAATCAACTCTTTTCCATTAGGGAAAAGTACACAAACCCCCTTGAGGTTTGATGGAAGTTATACTTTCCCCATATAGTTTAGAAAATGCCCACTTACTCTTTAAGGTTTAATGAAAAATGCACTAACCCCCTCTATTTAAATACAAAGATAATTACACCCCTATTATTGTTTATCTATATATTTTCTATTATAGTTTATCTACAAATTTACCTTTCATTTTTTCATATTTCTACTTTTAACTATAGAATAATGAAAATTTAATCATGCTGAAATTACATTAAAAACTCCGAAGTTAAACTATATTTGATTTTCAGTAAAAATAAGATTTTAAAATTATATTTAATTCAATTATATATTAACTTTGAGATGAATTCATAAATTTTTTATTTAAAATTTAAATTCCTTAATCCCTATTAAAATATCACAATTTTTTTTTTTGCAAAACTTTTTAAACTTTGTTATTTTAAATATCTTAATTAATTATTTTTTATAAAGATATATTTGAAACTACTTCGTTTCTATTCTTCATTTGAATCTAAGAAATAGTCTCAAACTAAAAAATAGTAAAAGGATTATTTTGTTCTTGATAGTTATTAATTTGATCGGTGGATAGGAACATACTTTAGACGAAATTGTGGAGAGTACTGCATAGTCATTTTTATGAATTTAAAGCTCAAATTAGTATTTTATTTATGTTATCATAAAGTCTCTTTTTATATAGTTTCCACAATTACAATTTGACAGAAATTGTTAGAGGAATAACTTTCCATCTTATTATTTTTATTAGGTTATAACAATTTTGTTTAAATACACTAGTAGTAAACTCCCCAACAAACTCTCTAGAGATAAAGATTAAAAATCTCTAAAGATTAAGATAATAATGATTCCCCTTATCGTAGGAGGCTCCTAAAAACACAAAACTTCTCAAGATAATATGCATAATTTGATACTCCTTCAAGTTGGGGAATGGATATCTTCCATCCCAGTCTTGCTAATAATATCTTGAAATACAGTGCTTGTCAGTCCCTTCGTGAGTATGTAAACTTCTCCTTGATGAAATGTCTATAAACTTTTCCTTGATGAAATGTCTATAAACTTTTCCTTGATGAAATGTCTATAAACTTCTCCTTGATGAAATGTCTATAAACTTCAATATGCTTTGTTCGATCATGTTGATCAAGGTTATAAACAATATTGATGACTGATTGATCACAATAAAGTCTCATAGGTCATTCCCTTTTTATACTTAAGTTATCTAGGATTATCTTCACCCAGAGTAACATATTCCTCAAGCCATTAATATGAACTCAGATTCTGCACTTGATTTTGCTACGACGTTCTACTTCATACTTCTCCATGATACAACATTCCCACCTAAGATAGTACATTAACCAGATGTTGATCTCCTATCAACCAAAGATCTTGCATAATCTGCATTCATATAAGTTTATAACATGATGCTTATGCTTGTTTGACGTTTAAACAAAATCTCCTTTCAAGGGTTGTGATAACTCTGTAAAAAGGTCACATTTTGGGACCTTTTCATTTAAGTTATTGAATGTTTAAGAGCTCATTTAGGACCATGTAGATGCGTTTAGAAGCATTTAGTTGCATGTGGTGGAAAACGGTTTGTCGCGGCATTTTAATTTGTCATCAGTGCTACCTTATGTGGAAAGTGTTTGTCTAATGATGTGCAGGAATTGAAAGCAAGGAGAAGAGAAAATAAAATGCTGTGACATAAGAAGATTGCTGAGCAAAATGAAATTGCCAAGTTCGACTGACATTTCGATAGCGCTTAAAGTGCGAGAAGGTATTTTTGAAGCCAACTGTCTCATACTTTTCGTGATCTCTGCCCGAGAAATCTGCCTCGAAGATCCGCCTGGAGGGGTCGGCGCTGCTACAGCCGATCCTGCTAACCACGCCGCCTGCTCTGCAGATCCTATCTGTCCTTGGGCGTCTGCAGCGGGATTATGCTGGGTACTCAGCCAGCTACCCAGGCTATATCATAGCCTGTCCTTCCCGACTCCCAAGCAACTTAACCATGATTTTGGGGTTTCTTAGAAAAGTTAATACCAAGTCCTAGGATTAGTTTTCCCCTATAAATAGAGGATAAAGCCACATTGTTGAAGACTTTGGTTTTACCCAGATTTGAGCTTAAAAAGTTAGAGAGAGAAGATCTCATCTTTCTCTGTCAATCTTACTTGCCGTGGCATTTCTCCGTGACAAGCCTGCGGAAGTGGCGTTCTAGGCATCCGAGAGGAGCTAGTTCGCTGGGGGCAGTTTGTGGTGGCCGAGGGAAGCTCCGACAGTGCGCGTTGAAGGCTTTTTCTCCTTCCCTTAGTTCTTTGCTTTCATATTTTGTTATTTGGGTTGCAAGGAACGGATAATCTTGCTTTGTGCTTGCTTATTTCGAACCCCACCATGAACTAATCCTATTTGGTGGGAGTTCATTTTGGATGTTTAAGTTTTATTTCAATGAATGGTTGATTTTTCTATGCTATAATCTGTTTTGTTTATGGAGTTTAATGCCTTAAGGTTGTAGGAGCTACGAGAGTAGTCATTCCTTAGGAGATTCTTAGGGTTCGAGAGAATACCTATGTAACATATCCTTAGTGTTCGAGAGAAACTAGGGAGGAACTACATAAACAAGGGGTTCTAGGTAGTAACTAGGCCTAATCCACCTTAGAGATAAGGCTAGGATTTCATTCGACTAAAAGGAGTTGTGCATAAACGATAGGTTAGATGTTAATGGTGCCGCAAAAAGGTATTGCCGAGACATATCCTGTTATCTGGACCAATAAGATCACTGTAGGGGTTTACGCCAATCGGTTTTGCTAGGGCATTTTAATCTGTCGAGTCCCTTACTAGAGATAGAATAGGGCACCTTAGTAGACTCTGTCGGGCAGACTAGGTATAGAAGAAAGACCATTCGGAGAAGTAGACTTAGATTTTCCTTAGTGACTCCTATCACTCACTTCCATAGTTGCTTGTCGTGTGAGAAAGCTAAAGTCCTATTAATCAAATCATATATTTACATTTTATTTTGCCTTGACATTTTTATTTGTTTGCATTAAACACAATCTATTTTACCACGACATATCCATTTGCTACCACATTACCATCGTTCCACTTCCACATCAGTCATTCCATTTTGCCCCTACATTATCATTTTTATATACCATTACTAACTTTACTTAGGTGACAAAGTAAAGTGTATTGACAAACTTATTTAATTTCCTCCAATCCCTGTGGAGACGATACTCACTTATCACTGTATTACTTGTTCGATTGTGTATACTTGCACATATATCCACACTCATTTTATAGTACCCACTAGAGTGGACAGGTTTTCTTTCAAGTATTGTAGTATCCTGTTTATTTTTATGAGGTGTGATTATTTGGGATTGTGCATAAACTGGCTGACTACACTTACTACAAATGCTATACATGGTCTTGTGTGTTCAAGATATATCAACCTTTCAAC